ATCTCCAAGAGGAGTCAGATCTTTGTGTTCCAGCCTCATTCCAAGAACTGAGCCACAGTTTGAAAATTAAACAAAGCATGGAAATTATGGATTAAAACAGACCCAAGACCATCTAAAGCAGCGGTTCTCAACCTGTGGGTCGCGACCCCTTTGGGGGTCGAACGACCCTTTCACAGGGGTCGCCTAAGACCATCGGAAAACAAAAAGATATTCACATTACGATTCATAACAGTAGCAAAATTACAGTTATAGAGTAGCAACGAAAATAATTTTATGGTTGGGGGTCACCACAACATGAGGAACTGTATTAAGGGGTCGCGGCATTAGGAAGGTTGAGAACCGCTGATCTAAAGCAATCAGAAATGCCTGAGATAAGCTAATTACAATAACTAAGCACTGAATTTAGCTTCAAAATTTTAAGACATCTGGGCAGGGCTGGGATTAGGGTGAGGTGAGTGAGGCACTCATCTCAAATATTAAATGTAAGGAGGGGAGCCCAAATCTTCAGTTATCAAGGTAAATATTTCAGTGCAATATTTCTAAAAACCAAATTAACCCCAAAAATCCATAATGAACAAAATGTCAAAAATTCAAATAAAATTGCATAAAACCTGTATATAGGGGCACACATTTTTCTTTTTATCTCAGTTTCAAAATGGCTCCACACCACACAATTGGATCTCATCTTTATTTAGGGCTTGATATTTGGTTCGTCGTGCATTTTTGTGCATTAATTTTTATCTTTAAAAATTGCATTAATTTTGGAAATTGCATTGTTGCATTAACATATTATTTATCCTAATTACAGAGTTTTGGGTGTCCCTTTAAGTTTTCCAAGGTGAGGGCCTCACTTTGCCTCACTCTGATTCCAGGCCTGCCAGGTACCTGTTACCAGGGAACATCAGAGTCACTTAAGAGTCCTCTGGCCCACAACCCCTCGCCAGGCGTCCCACAGGCCTGGAGTGTCCAGGGGTGACCCTGACAGACATGCAGCACACAGGCAGCCACCCCACCTCCCCTTGGCTGATCCTTCTGGCTCTTCCTTCTGAGTCTGGCACCGGCGAGTGCTCCAGGCAGCAATATCTACCCATCAGAACTGGCAGGTGAGACAAAATATACGAGTACATAAAGCCCTGGGAAACCATTTCTAATGGGACAACTGGCATAACGGTGTAGAGATGAGGCTGGAGGAAAGTTCCAGGTCCAACACTCATTCCAGGCTGAAAGATGAAAGTACAGAGTTGTGGACAGAATTGAAAGTGAAGAAATTATTGCTCTAGGCCAGGATTGTCCAACAGAGCTTTCTGCCATAATAGAAAAGCTCTATATTTGTACAGGACGATACTGTAGCCACTAACCATATGTGGCTATTGAGCACTTGCATGTGGCTACTGCAACTGAGAAATGGGACTTTTAAATTCATTTAATTCAGGTTAACCTATATTTAAATTTAAGTGGCCACATAATGACTACCATATTACATGGCAGCTCTACATTAGTGATTCTCGAACTTAACTTGCATTAGAATCATGCGCAGGACATGTGAAAGCAGATTGCTGAGCCCATCTCGGAGTTTCTGGTTCCGTAGGTCCGGGGCGGGGCCTAGAATTTGCATTTCCCGTAACTTCCCACGTGAGGCTGATGCTGCTGGGCTGGGGACGCTTTGAGAAGCGCTGATCCAGACAGTGTTCTGATATCAAACAGCTGCGGGATATTGAACAAATCCCTTTAGGTCTCGAGTGTTGGCTTATCTTGAAGCACGATGGCAGGCTGGGCTTTGGAGACAGACAGATGTGAATTCACATTCCTGCTCCTCCATTAATCAGCTACAGGGCCTTCAGTAACCTGCTCTGTCACAAAGTGGAAATAATAGCGCACACCACACGGGACAATTACAAAGATCAAATATGATGAGGTATATATGCCATTAAGTATGCGTTTTTAAGGTCATTCCCTGCTCAGAAAATGTATTAAATGAGATTCTATATATTGGTATATATGTACATATATAAGAAATAAGCATTTCCACAAAATAATTCTGTCAGGGTCCTCCAGTGCCAGTATATTAGTTATCGATTGCTGCATATAACAAACTACCCCAAAATGTAGTGACTTAGAACAACACATAGTCATTATCTCGCAGTTTCTGTGGCTCAGACATGGGTGTGGCTTGGCTGCGTGTCTCCGGCTCAGCATTTCTCATGAGGTGATATTTAGTAAACGGGCCAGGGCTGCAGTCTCACCCAAAAGCTCAACTTAAGAGGTTGGGGAATCCACTTCTTCTTTTGTTCTTTTTTTAAAATTGTGGTAAGGTGCACATAAAATTTACTACTTGAACCATTTTAAAAGTAAACCGTTCAGTGGTATTAGATACACTCACATTGTTGTGCAACCATCACCACCGTCCGTCTCCACAGCTTTTACATCTTCCCAAACTGAACTCTGCGCCCATTAAACACTAACTCCTATCCTCCACCCTATCCTTCAGCCCCTGGCAACTGTCATGCTACTCGCTGTCTCTATGAATTTGACTCTTCTAGATGCCTCATACAAGTGGAATCATACAATATTTGTCCTTTTGTGACAGGCTTATTTAATTCAACATAATATACATGCTGTACCTACCATGTGCCAGGATTTCCTTCCTTTTTATGGCTGAATAATATTCCACTGTATGTATATACCACATTTTGCTTATCTAGTCATCTGTCAATGGACGCTTGGGTTGCTTCCGCCTTTTGGCTGTTGTGAATAATGCTGCTAGGAACATAGGTGTACAACTATGTGTTTTGAGTTTCTGCTTTCATTTTTTTAGGGTAGGGGGACTCACTTCTAAGTTTACTCACCTGACTGTTAAAGTGTCAGTTCATTTCAGGCTATTGGACTGAGGGCCTCAGTTCCTTGCCACACCTCAAGGCTCTCTCCATTAGGTTGCTTACGATATGGCAGCTTGCCTGCCCCAGAACAAGTGATGAGAGAGAGACGGAGAGAGAGGCCAAGACCAAGAAAGAAGCCATAGTCCTTTTATAACCTAATCTCAGAAGTGGAAAGCCATCATTTCTGCCATATTGTATTAATGAGAAGCCCATAAATAAGTCCAGCCCACACTCCAGGGTGGGGAGTACACAAGGGGGTAAATACCAGGAGATGGGAATCATTGAGAGACATTTTTGAGACTGTCTACCACAGCCAGAATCTTGACTCTTAATAATCAAGTAGGTCTGCTTAGGTATAAAAGGATGCCTGGAAAAGTCCTTTGGATTTATGTGGATGACAACCCAAAACCCAGAATCAGAAATAGATATAGTAGACACATCATCGTAACTGTTAATTCCATATATTTAATGTCGCTCTTCAGTGGGATTCTGAATCCACCTGCCAGGTTTTCCTTACTACAGAGCTGACACTTGCATACAACACACACCATTGGTGAGCGCAGTCCAGCCATGTATCGGCCCTTCCGATCCGCACAAACAAGGCGCAAGGCCCAGCCCCACCGGTTTTGGATCTCACTTCCCAACGTGAACTCTGGGCTCTACATCCGCAGCCTCCATAGCACATGTTATCCCTCCTGACGTGGAGTGTGTCCTTTCTCCTGCTCTGATGCCACCCGTGCCAACACTCTCAACGCTGGCTCAGGCCTGGTGAGGCCACGCCTGCTCCAGTGACGAAACTGGCTTGAGGATCTGCCCAGCGCTTCCCCACAGTCAGCGACCACCCCCTGCTGGTCCTGTCTACTTCTCTCTTCAGCCACACTCTGCTGCTCTTCTGTGTCTCAGGCTGAAATACACTTTCTTTGGAGGTTAGAGTCACTTCCCAAACATGATTCCAGAAGGTAATGGAACACTTGGACCAATACATGGACCCTTCTATACTTTCTATGTTACACCACCAATATCTCCCCTCCCACATCCCATGTTTTTACCACTCTATAGCCAGTGTTGCATAAACTACTTCAACATTTTGAAAATTATAAACTAGCCCCCTCTTTTAAATTACTATAATCTCCATTGCGCAGATGAGAAAACTGAGACTCAGAGAGGTTAAAAGAACTGCCTAAGGCCACACAGCTAAAAGAAGACAGTGACAGAAAAACTCTGTATAGTTCCTATTGAGTTTCCAGTATGTCATGAGTGGTTTGTGGTTTTTTTTTCAGGCTGAAAGCCTAGTGGGGTACCCACAATTTAGAGGGAACCACTTTCCTGTTCTGCTCTGTACACACCCAACACAACCCATGTCCTAGCGCACAGAGCCACAGTCCACTGCCTAGGACAGCCCAAGCTCAGGAGATGAAATGAGTGGGATCCTACAGTCTTTTGGCACCAAATGACCCCACCTCCCTTGCCTCCACTGACCCTAGAGGAAGACCCACGCAAAGCTAATACAATTGCCTACCTTAGTTAGGTATTTGGAGTTGGGGCATTAAAAAGCAAAGGAACTCAGACGGCAGAACTATACGGCCATGTAGACATGGGGCTGCAGTTGGTGGCCTGGCTAGTCAGTTATGTGGGAAGCAAAGATATATCTTTAGTGGTAGGATAGTGTGCTGGTGAGGTGCCCAGGCTGTGGAAGTAGGCTGCCCGGTTTGAATCCTGGCTCCCACTGACAAGCTGCAGGATATGGGGCAAGCTACTTAACTTGTAGGTGACTCAGTTTTCTAATCTGTGAAATGGGGTATGAATGGTACTTAACCCAACTCATTGTAATTATAATGAAATGAGTTACACCCCAAGGTGGCTGCGTGGGCACGCAGCTCACACTAGGAACTGCATCTGGCCTTATTCCAGTGGCAAGAAGGGGCCCAGCAGCCTCAGGGACCCACAGATGGAGCAGTTCTCCATGACTTTTTAGTCTGTGGCAGGTCTGCCAGGACTCGGGGCACTTTATTGCAACCACCGCAGGGTGTCCACAGGAAGGTAAGAGAAGCTCTTCCTATGGCATTTTCTGAAATTTTCGCCTTATATTAAAGACTTTTAAAAATCACACACCACATATGTTTGGAAATTTTATTCTTTTTATTGCAAATTTCTGATAAAGGAAAGAACACGGAAGCTGATTCTCATTTACACTTTGGTGATAAGAGTACACTGTAGCTTGGTGGCTCACAACCTCCCCAGTGCGTGAACCGCCCAGGAGCCTGGGATCGTACTGATGCCTGCGTCCCACCTCCCAGAGGCTCTGACTTAGTTGGCCTGGGGGCAGCCCAGGCACCAGTAGCTGTTTTTTGAACTCCCCAGGGAATGGCAACATGTAGCTGCAGTGGAGAACCCCTGCCGGAGCTCACGGCGTGGAGTTGGCAGCATCAGGAGCCCCTGAGCAACTCAGCGGACAGGCAAGCATCACCTGCTCACATCTCGCCTCTGCCTGAGTCTAGCGGATGTCCTTGGCTCCCCGCTTCCCAGGGGCCACTGTGCTGGGTCTTCCTTTTCAGAGACCCCAGAGGAGAGCAATGTGGGAGGGGCCGTGGCTCTCGGTGCTGTGGCTTGTGCTTAAACATGGAGAACTGAACTAAACACGGTTACTCTATCACAAAAAGAAATTCACTTTCTGATTGCAAAAGAGCATTGGCATTTTATTTTTCACTGTTTAGTGGAAATAAGTCTTCCTATATAGAGATACAAAGATTCGCAACCAAATAAGGAAATACATATCGGATGACGTATTCCTTCTATGAATACTTGGGTCCGAATTAAAAAACAATTTTGTCAAGCCATTGAGGGTAAAATATTATGTACTTTAGCAGCATATTTTGTTTGGGTAAACAGTAATAGCCAGTTAGATATTTCATATATGATTTATCCTAAAAATAGAAAATGCTTTAATTTTTCCTGAGTCCTCAGCAAACAACAACAAAAAAAAGTTTTTAAAATTTTAAAAGTATTCCTGTTTCCTTTCTCCTGGGCACCCTCACAGTTTAGAATGGCGTGTGTCTCACTATCAGTTTTTACATGCATAGGTGAACAAAGAACACTGGTGCCATTTTTCAATGACTAATCAAATATGGTGAATGAAAAATAAAACACTCAGGGTCTACAAAGTTGCTCAAATGAAAGTTTCCCGACAGTGTTATAAATACGATATCAATTTGATTCTCTGTCCATACAAAAGTATGAATTTCTATTTTGTTAATAATACTGAATGACTAATGTCTTAACGGTGATACAACTTTTAGAACCTAAAAAATACATAGGATCCCATTTTTACATCATAATTCTGATGTATTATCATCCCTTCTATTTTGTCCGCAAAACTTTTACAGGGTACAGTGCATTGACGTGATAAAACCAAGGCACAAGAATACAGTAAGTATATATAAAACTTAGCACTTTGTGCCAATTTTGGAAACATTTAGAGAGGAGACCATAAAGCCTGAAAAACTCTCACATCCTATTGTGACTGATGAACAATTAATTGTGCAATAAACAGACTATTAACCACCATTTCATTATTAAATATATGGCTATCACCACACAGGCTGTGGATAATTGAAAAAAGTTTTCAATATTAAAACCTGGTTTAACTAGGTGGTTGATGTAAATATTATGCCTTACATTATCTAAACAATTGTCTTAAGTTTCCATTTTAATCTGTAATCTATATGGCAGTTCTAAGTTTTTAAACTATTTTCATTACATAAATGGTGAGGTTTTTTTTCCCCAAATATTAAGTCCCTTCTCCCTACAAAAGACAGAGGATTTACAAGAAGATAACCAATATAAGAAATGAACAGACAACAATAATAAAATCCAAATATGGACTCAAAAGTTTGAATTCTAATCTATTAGGACATTTTCTTACTTTAGAGTAAGGAGCAACACATTTCTGTGATAGATAATTCATTAGTTTCTTAATTTAAAAAAATCACTATGACATTTTTCAAAAAGTAAAATCTTGGCTAGAGCATCAAGCATTGAAGGAAAATTAAGTCTTTTCATTCATAAAATGAAGGGGATAAAAGCCTTTCCAAATCTGAATTTAGAGAAGTGGAATAAAGTAGTAAAAATTGTATTTAATACTTTTAGAGTGTTTTCAAGATTTAAGGTAAACATTTAGACCCACGGATACACATTTCCTGGCACATGCACGCCATGACTAGAACAATCCCGAATGCCAGGACCGCCTGGCCACAGAGGTCTCTAGCTCCCAGCCCCACCGGCAGAACCACCTCTGAGGTCCTTGTCCCAACTCCCTTCACATGGGAACCTCCGGTTTCTGCATCTGTTGGATTTGCTTCTGTAGCTGGTCCTTGTCCAGCTTCATCTTGGCTTCGAGAACTTGCCTAAGAGATCCTATGCTTTCATAGATGGCTGTAAACCCTTTAAGAAAAGGCAAATTTCACAAGAGTTAATACTAAAAAAACAATGCTGTATCAAACTCTACTGCATATAGTAATAGTCGATTTGGGCAAAAATTAATAGATGCAAAAACTACTGGAGCAAAGGTTTGATGGGAAACAGAATAGTTACACAGTTAAGATCTGTCTTTGGGTAACTTCCACTTACTGGTTGCAGTTCTATATTCCTGACTCAGAATGTAAATCTAATCCCTCCATTATAATGCAGTGCTTTAGAAGTTGAAATCAGTTCTAACATTTTCTTCTAAATAAGTGTGAATTAATGGGCCCTCTTGATTTCTAAGTAAAGGAAAATCATTCATTGTCATTGTGGTCTACTGCCAGCAGTATACAATAAAGCCTTCACAAGCCCCTCAAAGCTATGTGCTTATTTCTGAGACATACTGACCTTGGCTATGAATGGAAAGAATCGCAAATGGCACTACAGAAAGCGCACATCAGTTGCAAGCTAAGCTATCTTTGTTTTGTTTGCCTGTCTCTCATGGTGGCTCTTCATGTATGAGGAATTGAAACAATGTTTTAGTTCAATACAGCACAGCTACTTAGAAAATCACCTAAGGACATTTTACTGTTATTACCATTGGTCAGATTATAGGCAGTTGTAGCGGAATACTGATCAGTTGTTTTTTAGATCAAATACAAAATAAACCATGAGAGCTGTCTTCTTTTGGCCTACCAGCATCAACCTCTGCTTTTATGTCCTTCATGTCCGCACTCATCCGTAACTCCAGCTTGCTGATGCGCCCATGCACCTTCTCCTCTTCTTGTTTTGTTCTCTGTACTTCCACATGCTTCTTCTGACTCTCTTCGAGTTTGTCAAGTCGGGCTGACATCTGGCTGAGCTTCTTCTCCATGTCCCGTTCACTGGCTCCCTGAGATCCGTGATAAGAATCGCACTGATTACTCTAAAAAGTACATCTGTATTTCATTTGCATCAGTTATAAGATCATTTAACAACAGCCTGCAGGGAACAGAATCACAGAGGTTGCTCATTGCTTACCCTAATATCCATTCTCCCTTTCTTCCATAACAGACCCCCAATTTTCAACTGGGTATAAGGTCACTCGGAATAAAGACTATATTTTCTATGTCTCCTGAGTTTGGGGTAGGCATATGATTAAGTTGTGGCCAATGAGATGTCAGTATAAGTGTACGTGGCAGCTTCCAGGAAAAGGTAAAAGACAGCTGAGGCATATCCTTGCCCTTTCCTTCTTCCTTCTGTTCCTGGAATTCAGACATAATGGCTGGAGCTCTAACAGCCATCTTGAAATATGAGGACAAGGGTCACTCTCTAGGACTGACAGAGAGTTGGGCCAGAAGGATCCTGGGTGGCTGAGGACTGATGAGCTACCACATCAGCCCTGTAATCTGACACCCAGATATCTTTTATGTGAAAGAGAAATAAGCTTCTATCCTATTAAAGCCACCGATACCCTGGGGTTTACTGTTAGTGATTACACCAATCCAGATGTAAAACTAACAGCGATCCAAAGACCCAGAAGCCTACCAATTTATGAATCTAAGTCAATCAATTGGTAGATTTGATAAAAATATGGAGGACACCTGAAGAAATATTTGAAATATTCAATATTTTCTTTCCTTTCTTTCCCACCATGCTTCATTTTTATGGGGATCTGTGTTGATAGATGAGCTTTGGAGGCCATGACTATAAACACCAAGCTGCACGTGGGTTATGGCATGGCAAAGCTCTCCTGACGCTGTTCCATGCAGAGTCTGCAAGTCAACAGCTGGGTGTTGAGAAAGCAGAGCCAGAGATGCAGGCTGCACTAGTCACTTGTGCTCCATCAAAGCCCAACAGGAGGAAGCAGTGCAAGGAAAGAGAAGGGAGAGGAAGATGGTCAGGCTAAATAACTAAACCAAAAAATGTGCCTGCCAAGTATTAGTTTCAGAGTCTACTAATTTTAAATATTACACATGCAAGGCTTTCTTGATATGGTTTTTGAGCAGTTCTGCAAATCTAAGTTCTGCGAGGGAGTGAGGTAAAAGGAGAAGGAAGATGGAAAAGAAAACGGTGGATTCTGTTTTACATGTTGCACCATGATTGTAGTGTGATCAAGGGGCCTGGGGGGAGAAATCTCGTCAACACTGTTTTTGCCAGATCGTGACATTAAAACAAGTTAGGATGAAGATTGTAATTGCACATTTTATTTAGAAAAGCAGATGAGCTATTTGGTTCATTAAGGTCTTGACTTTACTTCATCTTAGCTGAAAATATTGAAATTTTCTCCTTAGCCTTTGCTAATTAAAATAAGTCAGAGTGCTCCATCTCTTTATAACAAATACAAAGAAGCAATATGAACCATGGAAATGGATTCTAAGACAAGACACAATTGAACAGATTAACGTGGTGCTAAGTAAATCAACGATAAGGTGCTAGGTACTAGGTATTACTCAAACATTGCAGACCTGCACCAAATAACTTTAATATGTTATTACTAAACATCAATACCTACATTATTTTCCTTAACAACCAAGGAAAGCTGATCAATTTTCTGTAAAAGTTCTTTTTCTATCCGTTCTTGTTCCTGTTGCAACCACTTTCGTGCAGATAAAATCTGGTTACTGAGTTCCTCAATTGTACCTTTAAATCTGAAATGAGAAAGTCTGCAAGTTAGATGTAAAACAATTCTAAAATGACATCAAACAACCTCAGGATCCAACTATCAAAATTCTCATTAATATGTCAGCATTAAACTCAGCTCACTCAGAATTACATGCTTACCTTTTCTTCAAATTACATTTAGAGCTAAATTGGCAAGGGGTGGGAGGGAAAGAGTATACAACAGGAGAAAAGCACCTGGTAATATTTTCTACCCTATGAAGAGCTGACAGTGTGGGCATTGAGATGTCACACGGTGACAGCCACGTCAGGCGCTAATCTTTGTAGTTCAGAGGGTTCCCAGTGCTACTGGCTCAAAGGACAGCGTCTCAGCTCCCTTCCCGACTTCCCTCTTTCCCTGGGCTCCTCCCCCTTCTCCCTTTTATCTCCCAGGACTGGAGCCTGGATCCCTTGCTCTCTCATGTTCTCCAAATTGCTCTTGCCCCATGCAGATATTCCCTATTTAAATCAAAACTAAAAGTGAAAGAAAAACCATAACCCTCTATTCCTCTAGTCCCCTTTCCAAATTCGTTAAAATAACATTTCATACTTGCTGCCTTCCCTTAATTACTTTTTTGTTATTTTTATTATGAAATGTAAAAAAAGTGACTTAAAAAATAATAAAATGAACACCCATTGTGGTAGAAGCCCCTAATTATCTGCAATACCTGTTTTCCTCTTGTTCCCTATTAAAAAATCCTCAAATGTGGACTGAGTACACAGCTGCCTAACCAGAGGTTACATTTCCTAGCCTCCCTTGCAGCTAGGTGTGGTCATATGGCTAAGTCAGGCAATGGGACACATGTAGAAATGATAAGTACAACTTCCTAGTCATATCATTAAAAACAAAGCTTTTTGGTCTTACCTGAGTAGGCAGCCAAGCCAGTAGCTTCACTTTACTATGGAGCTCAGTCTGCAGCCATGCCTGACGAGGGAGACTGACCACAGGGCATGACAGCTTTACTAAATTCATTTATTCTAACAGTTTTTTGGTGCACTCTTTAGAGTTTTCTACATATAAGATCATGTCATCTGCAAACAGGGATAATTTTTCTTCTTTTTCTCTGAGTTGAATATCTTTTTGTTTTCTTCATGGATTTTGCTTTTTAAAAAAGATTTCTATTAAAATATAGCTAACATACAATATCATATTAGTTTCAGGGGTATACCAAAGTTATTCAACATTTATATACCTAAAGAAGTGATCCAGCAACCATCTGACACTGTACCACATTATCACAAAATTATTGACTATGTTCCCCATGCTGTACATTACATCCCCATGACTTATTTGTTTTATACCTGGAAATTTTATACCTCTTACTCTCCTTCACCTTTCTCCTCCCTTTTAATTTTCCAATTACAATTGACATTCAATATTATTTTATATTAATTTCAAGTGTACAATATACTAATTAGACACTTATATAACTGACGAGGTGTTATACATTTTTGCATCTATGTTCATCAAGGATATTTTCTTGTAGTGTTTGTATGTGGCTTTAGTATCAGGGTAATGCTGGCCTCATAAAATGAGTTTGGAAGTGGTCCTTCCTCTTCTATTTTTTGAACTTGTTTGAAAATGATTGCCATTAGCCCTTTGTAAAATATTTGATAGAATTTACCATGAACAACTTATGATTGTTCATAGTAGTCTCTTATGATCCTTTGTATTTCTGTGGTATCATCTGTAATGTCTCCTCTTTTATTTATAATTTTATATATTTGAGTCCTCTTTCAAGTTTTCTTGGTTAGTCTAGCTAATGTTTCATTTTTTTGGTTTATTTTTCAAAAAAAACAACCATTAGCTTTGCTTACTTTTTCCCACTGTTTTTCTATTCTCTCGCTCTATTTAATTTATTTCTACTTTAATTGTTATTATTTCCTTCCTTCTGCTATCTTTGAGATGAGTTTCTTTTTTTTTCTAATTCCTTGATGTATAAAATTAGGCTGTTCATTCAAGATCTTTCTTTTTTCATAAGGTAGTTGTTTATCGCTGTAAACTTTCCTCCTTGGGTTGCCTTTGTCGCATCCCATAAGTTTTGGTATGTTGCATTTCCATTTTCATTTATTTCAAAATTTTTGTATTTCCCTCTTGAGCTTCTTTGACACATTGATTATTCAGGAATGGGTTGTTTAATTTCCACATATTTGTCAATTTTCCAGTTTTCCTCCTGTTAATGATTTCTAGTTGTATGCTATTGTGGTCAAAAAAGATACTTGGTTTGATTTCAATCTTCTTTAATTTGTTAAGTCTTCTTTTGTGGCCTAATATATGATCTACCCTAGAGAATGTTCTGTGTGCACTTAAGAAGAATGTGTATTCTGCTTCTCATGGGTCAAGTCTTCTGTATTTGTCTGTTAGGTCTCTAGTTGGGCAGGACTGCTGTCCATGCTATGAGGTAGTGGGGACCACTGGCTGGGTTACCTAGCTAGGCAGGGCTACTGGCTAGGCTGCATCGTCAAGTGGAGCCTCTAACTGGGCTCTGCAATTACCTCTGGTTGGGTGTGGTTGCAGGTTGTATTCCCTGGAAGGGTGGTGCTGCTGGATGGATTCCACGATTGGGCAAGGCTACAGGCTGGGCTTCACAACTGTACTTGATTAGGTGGGGCCCCAAGCTCTGCTCCCCAGCCAGATGTTGCCACTGACTGGACTCCAGGTGCAGGCAGGGCTGCAGGCTGGGGTTCATGATCAGACAGGGCCTCAGGCTATACTCCACAATTGAGCAGGCTGCTGGTTGTGTTCCACTGTTGCGTGAAGTCACTGGCCAGACTCCCTGGTCTGGCAGGGCCACCAGCTGTACCTTGTAATTGGGTGAGGCTGGAGGGTGTGCTCTGGGGTCAGATGGAGTTATTGTCTCGGATCCCTGGTAAGGTAGGGTCACAGGCCATGTTCTACTTTTGGGCAGGGTTGTTGGTTCGGTTCCATGCCTGAGCAAGGCTGCAGGCTGTTCTCAATCAAGTGGGGCCATCAGCTGGGCTCCAAGACTGCTTGGCGTCACTGTTCAGGTTCCTTGGTCAGGTGTGGTCAGAGGTTACAGCTTTTATTTTCAATTATTATATTTTGTAGAAGTTCTATGTGGTTGTTTTTCAATGCTGACTGGTCATTTTGATAATTTCTTATCTCTTAGACATACTTTCAAAATGTGTATGTGTGTGGGCGTGTGTGTGTGTGTGTGTGTGTGTGTGTGAATATATATACATACATATATACACATACACTTATTTCATTCAATAATTCCTATATATGCAATATTCAGAAGTCTGATTCTGTTTTTTGTGTTTTTCTTAACTCTATCACTTATGTGGCTTTTTTCCTTATGTTGTTTTATAATATTTGATTGTAAATTCATGTTCCTTAGTATTTCATCTGTCTGTGGGGAGACTTGAAGGCTGAAGATGTGCATTTTTTTCTGCCAGGCATCTCAGGCAACTACCAAATCAGGGTCATTCTAAGATAAGTATCTGCTGTGGTTTTCTTCAAGCCACTTGGGTAATGTGAATTCTAGTTCTAAATCCATATAAAGGTGGTGGTGTGGTCCTGAATTTTCAAGAAATATTTTTCACTCCTCAACCCAGAGCCAAGATTTAGACAGGTAAGTTTCCTTATGCTCTCTTTATAGGATGAGATTTTTCCTAGTTCATCAACTGGGTTTCACCTTTCGGGTCTCCAACAAGTCCTCCTACCCCACACAGGCCCCAGGCTTTGTCTCCTTTCCTCTGTGAACATTTTTTGTGTGTAGGCTTCTCAACTTTAAATTGTAGGAAGAAAAATAAAGATGTTCATGTCTGCTGACTAGTAATACCTCCTAAGGAAATAATTCACAGAAGGAAAAATACTAAGATGTTTATTTTCTTCCTAAGTGACGGAAGGAAGAGGGTTGGAGAGATCTTTGTGTACTTGGTTGGCCAGCTTGTAGGATCTATGAGAAATGGTGACATAACTGACTAGTTATATAAATATGATCATTAGAGGAAAAGAAACGTGGTTTTCATAAGAGAATTCCTGTCAAATTGGCAACAACCCTGAAACAGCATTAAATGTGGAGACAATGAGATGTAAGAGCCAGGAGAATGGTTAATTTAAACTTTCCACAGTCTCTGACAGAGTTCCATACTGAAG